GTTTTTGTACAAATCGACAGAGAAAGACTTGGCGCATCTAATGATACTAAGAACATTTAAATTGGACAGCCCAACATCAAGATATTTGAGCTCAAAGTTAGATTGCCAAAAGGGACGGGACGCGTCTGATAACCGGCGGAATTCGTAAAGCCAAAAATTTTTTTTTGGAAAACATTCGAAATTCGCTTCTGGCTATTGACCTGGCTTAAGCTATTACTGAAAATTTGGAAGATTGCTGATGGTCCTGCCCTGCCTGGCATATGATCTCACTTCAGCTGTACCTGTTTCGAAAAACTTTCTTTAGACCATCTACAATTCTTCATACAAAGCCATTCTTTATTTCAGTTACATCGTCTCCTTCTCTTTATCCCTGCTCGATGCTCTTTTGTACACGCATTACATCTCACTCATCGTGCTCTACATTCGCCAAATGCGACCGGAGTTCACCATCACGGTCACCCGAGATCCGGATGGACACTCGAGTTCGATCACTGTCGGTGAGAGATTTAAGATCAAAGTTTTCCGCTTAAAACAGCTCTTGTAATTCAGTCTTGTTCTTTTGGCTTGCTGGCTTGTTCTTTTTGACAAAACCAAGTCTAAAGCCCCATTTTCAGGCATGATGTCAATCCAAGAGGCCGCTATTCAAGTTTTACGGCACTATGAGACAGATTTCCCGACTTTCAATTCATATTTGGACAAGGTGAGGACTCAAAGTTTCTATTTTTACATGTGTATTCTAGGTTCGACAATCGGCAGTCAAAAACAGTATTCCTGGCCAAAATACGGGCGGCTTTAAAGTCTACGATCTTGAAGGAATCGGCGCCGGCGAGAATATTAGTCAAGTTCGTTGAAAACTGAGTGGTTCATGAGAAAATCATCTGGAAAACACGATTACTCTAAAATTTTCCTATTTTTTTCTAGACGGGATGAGGAATTAGTTCTGATATAGAACGTTAACTCTGGATTTGAAAATCCAGTCCCTAGACGCTAGACTTCTTGAAGCCTTCTAGGCTTTTAGGCTTGTGCCTTGACTCCATAAATGTTAAAAGATGGCTTTTACATTGACTCTGGAACTGTTAAAAGATAAAATATAGCACCTTTTCTATCTATAAGAGTTATTAAAACAAATTTTAGGCAAACTCGCGAGCTCTGTTGACAGCGATGGCAAGACGGCGACTCGGTGGCTATAAAGAGATGCTACAAGAGGAGATGGAGTGGGACAGGTGGGGAATTGAATTGAAATTTGCATCTAAAGGTGAAGACAAGTAAATACGGTAGTTTGGCATCTTTTAGAGAATCAGCATTCATTTTAGAAGACTCAAGAAGAGAAAATATCGTTTGATCGCTGCCGCTGAAGACGCTTTCTCTCATGTGCAAGGGATTCAAGGAAACAATATGAATGCTGGGAATGTGAGTTTGAAATTACAGTACTTGTGGCTCTTTTCCTGACCAGTTTACATAACGGATACTGATTTGCATTTAAAACTGACTGGGAAAAGAGTCACAAGTGGTTTTGGCCTCGTTTTAAATTCAAAAAAGTATTCGTTAGGTACTGCTTGAAAATTAAGCGTTCTCTACATCTCTTCATTGAAATATGTTATAACTTGTCGAAAAACCTTTCCTGGGTCATTTTTTTGCGTTCTTTCCGAAAAACATGGTTTCAAAACGATTTGAAGCGTCTCTGGTAGTCAAAAATTGCCCGGAAAATCACACAAAATTTTTGCTTTGATTCGAGCCCCTAAAAGTTGGATGAAACTATTTCTCAAAATCTTATAGCACATCTTATAGAGCTCAAAGAGAGCTTTCAGATGCTATATAATGTCTACATCTAAAGTTACAACCCATCAAAACAATACTTTTTCGATGGGGATATGATTTTGACCGGTATTGTGAGTGGAAAAGAGTCATAAGTACCAAAATTACTGCTGTATAACTAGTTTTGAAAATTTAAAGGAATTTCTAGTATCAATTTGGTTTCAGGTTCTTGGTGAACCGATGGACACAACAAATGCCGTTCATCATGTTTTCTCGATGATCGTGAAACCGTTGAATAAATATCTGCGATTAACCCGACAACAACCGAGATATCCAACTGAAAAGGTAATGGCATGAGGAATCAAGCCGATTTTTGGACTTTCAAGAGTTTTGAATCAAGTACAGTACTGTACTCTGTACTAACTAAGAGAATGTATCCGTTTTCTAAAACGGATCAACTTCTGAAAACTACCATTATCTTATCTCGTCTGTATCCAGTCGTGAACTGCAGAATCTAAACCTAGCAAAAGCTACGGTAGCTTTTGGAAGTTAACACGTTTTAAATAACCCATTAGCACATTCATTCTTTGTTTTTCTAGGTGATGAACTACATCGGCAAATGTCTTTCGTTGAGGCTAAATTATCGAACGTTTCTCTCGTATTTTTTGAGTGACAAGACACCGATTTCGGTAAGAGTTTGTATAAATCTACAGAAAAGAAATAATGTTTTAAAAAATAAATCCATCAAAATTTCTAGGAAATCATCGGCGAAGAGAAATGGTCGATTGTTTCCGAAGAGGAGTGCTCAAGGTCGCTCGCCTCGGGATCGACTTTTTTGTTGAGGTGAGGCAACGTTATAATGAAAAATTGAAATACACCCGTTCTAGCGCACTTAAATCATAGTTTTTTCTGGAATTTTTGACCCTTGCAATACATGGAAAATACAAAGTAGACAGATAAGAATATAGCCTAGTTTTTATAAGATCTCAAGTTTGAAGAACAATTTTCAATTGCAATTCCTAAGCATGTAAAAACGGAAAATTTTTTTTAATGCTAATAACTTTAGCTCTTAAATAGAAGCTTTTAAAAGGAATTTTCCGTTTTTTTCCGTGTCTCAAATCTGATTGCAATAGAATGATTCAAGCTAGTTCCAATCTAGGGTTTATTTTTTAAACTCTCTTAGGATACCAAGATTTTGTTATCTAAGATTTGATAAACCAAGAAAATGAAAAACTGGTCTAACCTTTTATTGAAATAATTACTGAGATAAGGCTAGCTGAAAAGTACCGAATATTTTATTCAAATCAAAAACTTTAGAAGTCACAATCGAGACGAAACGGCTGGTGTCCAACTGATCTGCTCAATCTCATCACTTCCCTTTTTCAACCTCACAGAACAAAATCGGTAAATGATCGTAGTTTCTAGAGCTTGCTATAAAATTGGCTGATCTTTGTAAACAGCTTAAACAAATCCTTTTTAGTGCGCAAATCTCGAAATTTGCTATCAAGCTCAACTCGGAATCGCCCGTTTGATGGGTGAATTTTCTCGAATGACTCAGAAGTGATCTCCGGTGATAAATTGATTGAATGGTTTTTAGATTATTAACTAAATTTGTTGATTGTTCAACGAATTGATCTTTCTTGAGAAATTGATTCACTTGAAATCTCAATTTTCTAGCTTTCAATGGATAGTGATTAAAGTCTTAATTAGAATAAGTCCCTCTCGCTAATGCGTTTTCTAAAAAATGCATTGCACACTAGAGTCAATGGAGTGTCAATGTTCACAATGGGATTACGGTAGAAAGTCTAAAAGATTCAGGGATTAGAAGACTGAATAGCCTTCAATTCAAGGATTAAAAGACTGAATAGCCTTCAATTCAAGGATTAGAAGACTGAATATCTTTCAATTTCTCTGAGTGTAAGCAGTCATTCAGCAGTTTGCAAAAAAGCCTACCGTAATCAAGCTTTTTACATTCAATCAATCCAATTTTAATCCAATTTTTAGCCTACCGTTTTCTAAAAATCATTCGATGAGAAATCACAAGGCTCAGTTAAAATTGAACTGATCGCTTGTAAAATTAAGGATACGGTAGTTTTACAAACTACAGATTACGGTAGCTTTTATAAAATGCCTTTTAGAAAACAAAGAAGAAAGCGCTTTGGTTATGACAGTCAAAAGTCTGTAAGTTGATAGGTTTTCAGTCTTTTAGACGCTCTACCGTACTCCAATTGTGACGTTTTCACTCTGATTACTGTAAATCTAGTGAACATACATTTCCGCCACTTTCTTTCCCCATTTTAATAAACAGCTTTTCCTTGCTAAAGCATTGAGCTGAAAGGAATTTCACAATGAGACAAAATAGACACTTTACAGTACTTTAACCTTCTAGTTAGCCCTCAATCCTCAATAAAGTTCTCAATCTCATCCAATCACTATCCATTCTCAAAATCGATTCTCAATTATTTTCTTTCTTTGTACTTTTGTGCAATTCTCACTTTTATATAACTTTTGTTGAATAAGCAAAAAAAAATTGTTTGTAAAACGGTAAATCTTACAAAATCACATGAAAGACTTCAACATATTGTAATTAGCGATCGATCAGCGATCAGATCAGAGTTAGTTGATCATATAGCAATACTCAAACTTTGTATAAACTTGGGTTTAAATCGAGATTAGAGACTTGGATCCCACATGACTTAACAGACATCCAGAAATGTCAATGCGTTCCGATCAACGCCGCTCATCTTTCTCGAATTGCGAGCGCAAATTGTTTTGACTATTGTGATAAGGGATGAAAATGGATTCTAACTGTCAACTTTTGGTGAAAGCGTCAATGTTGCTGAGGAGAAAAGTCCAAACATGACGTCAAGCCAAATGTGCATGAGGAGAAGTGTATGCTCTCGGTGCTCTAGGATTTGCAAGAGTCTATCTACTGGGACTTTTGCATATCAAGACAACTAAATCAAATACTCCGAGCAAAAAAAGCAGCGAGCAACGAGCAAGTCAGCCAAATCTTTGCCAGAGAAAAATCATTCTTCAACATGATAATGCTAGACCGCATGTTTCAAAGATGACTCGTTCTAAACAACTCACTATTATGCCTTAAATCTTCAAATCTTTTGAATTTTTAAGTTTGTATTATCATAGAGCTCAACGAAGCTTTGTTTCGTTAAAAACTTTGGTGCTAAGCTTACATAATGTTCGAATCTCGTAGGAATTCATTGTTGCTAAACTTTTTACTTTTAGTCATCCTTCTCAACGATGTCATTTGATGCGGCTGCGTTGGCTTGTGCTTTTCTTCTGTCTTCGCTGCGTGGCTGAAGAAACGAAGGAGCTGCCAACCAAAAGAACACCCATCGGCACACAAGCGACAACCCCAGCAAGCTCAGCGAGCTCAACTATTGATTGACGGAAAGACTACTACTAGAACTGTGACGCTCAACAATCAAGAACCAACGACTCAACCCGATTCTCAGCCTAAAATTGTTGCACGAAGAAGAAGGGGTGAGTTGTTTTGATAAAACATAAGCTTAATTTGGATAGCTCTTGTTTATTTGCAGTTAAAGCTAGCCACAGAGAGTTCAACTGCGTCTATGACACGCCTCTAGTTCGCCTCTAGTTATCTATAGTTAGATATAGGAAATCTTGCTATAATATTGTGTTGTTGTCTTGGCTTGTTTTCATTTTTTATTTTAGAGGTCGCTGGAAAAGTATATCAATGACTACGACACCTACTACACAAATCTGTACTTGTGTTCATGTACTTATGCATCAGGATTTAATTCGAGATCGAGTTCGACAAAAGAGTATGTTTTTGTTCGTTGTTTTGAGTGAGTATGTTGAAACTTTAACTAATTGTGGCATTTTAGTGGAAAGACTGTTTCCGTCGTCCGAATTTCCGATTACGTTCGTCACACCAAATATATTTTCGCGATGCCTTCAAAGCAACCAACAAAGAGATGTACCCACAAAGAGCTGTACCTACAAAGAGATGTACCCACAAAAAGATATGCGCTAGTGTTCCCCCGGGCGACTCCTAGATGCGCCAGTGGTGAGTATTGTTTTTTTGGTAAAAAAGATTTAATTGATTGCCATAATTCATGGTAGATTTTCTATGCTTTTCAAATATTAGCTCTTCTTAGTTCTAACAGCAAATTTAAAGCAACCAACAAAGAGATGTATTTAAAGCAACCAACAAAGAGATGTATTTAAAGCAACCAACAAAGAGATTTATTCAAAGCAACCAACAAAGAGCTGTACCCACAAAGAGATGTGCGTTAGTGTTCCCCCGAGCGACTCCTAGATGCGCCAGTGGTGAGTATTGTTTTTTTGGTAAAAAAAGATTTAGTTGATTGCCATAATTCATGGTAGATTTTCTATGCTTTTCAAATATTAGCTCTTCTTAGTTCTAACAGCAAATTTAGTTTCAACTTATCATTGTGCTTAAAATAAAATATCATTGTGCTTAACTTTAGTTAGTCGGAGGGCCCAGTTAGCCGAATTTCGTTGAGAAAGCGATTAGAAAAGGGATTAGATGATCATGATCACCAATCTTTGTGCAAAGTTCAATCGTGGATAAGCCGCCGGTTAAGGAGAGCGAGAAAATCAATGCGTCAATGCGTAATCAATGCGTTATTGAACTCGAATTTGAAACAAAATCGATTTTTCATTTTGATACGTTCTAGTTTTATTGTATCCAATTTCTTTCGAATAAAGTGGCAGAATGCGATTGCTGGTTTACTTTCATTTTGTACGTTTTCTATGAACTGAAGATTTAATATGTTAGTTTCAATGCACGAGCATCATTTATACCCGAAAAGTTCAAAATCTAAATAATATATTGCGTGCAAATATGCGATAGATTCGGAATTTTGTAGTAGAGAGTTTTTCAAGCTTTCTCGATGTTCATTGCGCTCATTTGTGTTGCCAGTGCGTGAGTAGAACAAGTGAGATAGAGTCTAAATTAGGATTTATTTTTTGAATTACGTTACGCGTGTCATAGATGCATTGTATCTCACAAACACCGGCGAATCTTTGAAACAAATCAACTCTTACCCGATTCCGGAAGAATTCCGGCACCTGAGCTTTCACAAAAATAGCTTCAAGCTCGTTTTTCATCGACATTCGCTCTTCGCTATGATGCACAAATTGATATTCGTTGAACTCGGCTTTAATAGTGCAAAACCTGAAAATAACTTTGTGCTACAGAGTTAACTTGCTACAGAGTTAATTTTAGTTAGACTTTTGAGAAAGTAGCTACCATGTTTGTGGCTGAGCATGATAGAATACAATCTCTTCATGCACTTTGTTCATCTTCAAACGATACTCTGGCTTGGTAGTGGTGTTTTTAAACAAAAAATAGAGACCCCGAACGAATTGATGAATGTCTTTTGTGCCGCATATTGACTTTTGTCTGTAATTTGCTTTACCCAGTGATCTCTTTTTGAGGAAAACTCGCAAAAGTGGCCATAGAGTGAGAGGAAACGCTCAATCGGATGGCGAATCACGGCGAATTTCTGAGTTTTCTTGCTTGTATACCAGAAATCTTCTTGTAACACCTCGGACTCGTACCAATTTGCTTTTTGACATTCGCTGAAATGACAGTTGATTTTATGGTTTTCTGCTTTTAAAGAAGAGATCTTCTTGGTGGAGCTGTAAGTACAGGAGTCGAGTAAGATTGAAACATCTTATCAATTAAGATTGAGACATAAAACACTTGAAATATGCAAATTGAACCTAAAATACTAATTGCTTTCTTTAGATTTTCTTTTTTTAGATGAAATGCCTGTAATTTTGGCTTATTCTCTTTTTAAAGTTTATTAGGACTTGAAAATGAATCATAAGAACAAAAAAAAACGAATATTAAATGCAAACAACCACTCGAATCAAACAAAATGCAACTAATTAACCAAAATTTGACTTATTCGTGCAGTTTTTGTTATAGTGACATCGACTGTTGCATTGAACGTTGGCTTTTAAACATATTATAAAAATAAATCCTTGCAGGAATCAACGAAAATTGTGAACTTATTGTTTAGAAACAATTAGATGTCACTTTTGGCTACAAGATTGTGCGAAAAGATAAAGCAAGTGCACAAGCAGCAAGCAAATTGAGAGAGCAAAAAGAAAATAAACGGGAACATTAGCAGAACTACGAACACAGTTAAAACCGGTGATGGTTTTAAAAAGAATGTTTAAATTAGCTAAACTTCACTTTATTAAATCAATTTGCATTTGTCTAATAAGTATTTGAGGTTTAATTTGCATATTTAAGAGTGTTTTATGTTTTAATCTTAATCGGCTATGACATATTTATTAGGTTGTTCGGATATAAACAAGCGTTGCTAAACTTGTTGTTGTGAGGGAAGCTTTTAAAACATGTCTTTCTGTATTTAAAAGTACAGTCATGGACAAAAGTCTTGGCGGCTCCTGGGTGGCAAATTTCAAATGCAAATTTAGGAACCTTTCCGAGAGGCTATAAAAAAGTTGTCACAAGTCGTCAATAGCAGAAATCGTCAATAATAATGGAAATTATTTGGAATGAATTGATGCAATTGATGGTTTTATGTTGAATAAATTTTAGTTCAAAGTCCGGGAGTTTTCAATTCACCAACCCAATATATCAAGTTCGCGTCTGCCTACTTTACGACTTCAAACTGGGCAAAACAGTAGCGGAATCCCATCGAGATTTGGACAAAGCATTTGGGAATATTTGAAAGCCGATGCCGAGCCTGGTTCCAACCCTTTCGGAATGGTGATGAAAGTCTCGAGGATTATGAACACTCTCGTCGACCTCAAGCGGTAGACAACGATATTTTGAGGGCTTCAATCGAATCGGATCCATGTCAAACGACGCGTGAACTTGCTCAACAGTTTATATGCTCAAATTCTACCATTGATGAGCATCTCCACACCATTGGAAAGACGATCAGATGCGGGAAATGGCTTCCTCACGAGTTAAGCAGTGCAAACGCTCGTTTTTATCCGAACAACCTAATAATTTTCAGGTTTTGACTGGAAACGTCTTATGTAAGAGCATATGTAAGAGCGTTTTATGGGAACCCCAAAATTTTTTCCGCAACTTTTGATATCTTGACAAATATCTTGAAAACCCATGGTTAGATTTCTATGTTTTTAGTACCATTTTGTTGCTCTTATCAAGTGAAAAAAATTAGTATCAAAAACATAAAAATCTGGCCATAACTTATCGAGTTATGTCGAGTTATAGAAAGTTGCGACAATGCCCCGTTGCGGAAAAATTTTTTGCGGCTTTTTGGCTTTCCCCGTTTTATATTTCAATCGGCTACGATATCAGCTCGATTTTGACTTAAAATTCTGATAGAAAATGAAGTTGCAACCTTGGTTAGTTAAGAAGCTTAATGAAGTTAAGCCTTGGTTAAGCGTTTCTTGTCCCCATTAACGGTAAAACTTTCAATCAATGAGAGTATTGTATTGGGTTGGGGAGAATGAGTCGGCGCCGAACTTTAAAGGGACTTTTTGCACACATAAAGCCTTCTTTAAACATACGTTTGGTTTCATCAAAAGGATCCACTATTTCTCTACAAAATGACTTTTGAGAGATTCCACAAAGCTTTTCTTTCGTGGAGTTTATGAACTTCGAAACGCAGCTGGTTAAAATGGCAAAGAGTCCGACTCATCATTTGAACAGTTTCTTTCACATAAACCTTCTTTGGTGTTTATATAAAAAAGATAGAGCACATTCAATTACTTAAGTTGCCAAATTTGCAGGAAGATCCCACCAATGCTTTTTTCTAGATCACAGTTTGTAGTTTTTGTGAAAAAATGGCTTTTTCTTGAGCGGAGGCGCTGTTTGAATTTTCTTTTAAATGTGATTTTGTAGAGAATTAGTTAACCATTCTACTCATATCAAACGCATATTATTTCACGAAGTCGAATTGAAGTTTTAGACATTTTTTTCATTTTCGGCGCCCACTCATTCTCCCCAACCCAATATGTCTAATGAAAAATCAAGATGTTGAAGGTGCTTAAAAATGACCTGATCTCCTCATATTTCGTCCACTTCTCAACAAATGGAATCTTCTTGAAATAGCGAAAGAGATCACATAAAATAATGCGCATCAAAGTAGACGCGTTTTTCGGAATCCGGCAATAGAAAAGGCTCATCTTGTTGAGATTCTGAAAAGAAAAATGTTTTCTGAAACTGAGGTAACAGCAAAATTATCGTAATCTTGCTTTACTATTAGGTTTTTATCTTTACAGAATCAGATTAAAAGGCAATAGCTCGGGGGAAAAGTCAATAGTTAGTTAATAACTCAATAGCTAATAGCAAAAGTCAATTGCTTGAAGACAATAGCTTTAGAATACGTTTTAGACTTTAAAAACAACTTTACAACCTTCACTAGATTAGCTTTAACTTCAAACATTGAACTAACTAAGTTTTCAAGTTCCATAAAACCGTGTCTGAATGGAATTTTTGGTAACAAAGATGGATTCGTTTCATTTTCATCAAAATTCATCAAATCTATCAAATAAAATAACATTAAAATATATAGAAATATGCATAGGTTAAATAGAAAAATACGTCGCATTAGAAAAAAATAAGTTTTGAATTCAGTAGCACGGAAATGAATCGAGGCAAAAATCGATGATGGGAAATGTGAACGAGAGGCGATTTTCGTTACCGATTTTGAGTGCTTTTCGCAGTGAATGGAAAAAGAGGCAAATGTAGTATTTTGAAATTAAAGCGCTCGAAAAAACAATAAAAATAGATAGCTTTTTGTCAACTATGGAGTTTTTGACTCTTGCATAGTTTTCGGGTATTTTGGAAGAATCCCGGTATTTTGAAAAAAACAGGATATCTTCAACGGACCATCGCACTTTAAAGGCCTATAACTTTATCCAGAGACAATATTATTGCCATCTTTTTATATCATTGTACAGAGAACATTTCAGGCTTTCAAATGATATCAAATAGAACTTGATTGGCTAATCCAGTCCAAGAAAATCAGAGCCAGCTCTGAGCAAATGAGGTCTTTCCAACTCGGGTGTCGTGTCGCCTGGTTTGCATGTGAATGAAAAATCTAATCAAGCTCTATTTGGTATCATTTGAAAGCCTGAAATGTTCTCTGTACAATGATATAAAAAGATAGCAATAATATTGTCTCTGGATAAATTTATAGGCCTTCAAAGCGTGACGATCCGTTAAAAATATCCAATTTTTTTCAAAATACTGGGATTCTTTAAAAATACCCGAAAACTATGCAAGAGCCGAGTTTTTTATGCAAACTATTCCATTTTTTAAAAGAAACTTATGAAAAGGTCCAAAAAAGGTGAACAATTTGGTTTTGTTTGAACAATTTGAACCGATCTTTAACTTCAACACAAGTACACTTCGAGAGTGCATCGAAACAACAAATTTTTGGTGCAAATCCGATTTCAATTGAATACTTTTGCGTATTGTATTGCATTTATTCTATAAAACACTGTGAACTTAATTTTGAACCTCATTTTGAATTGAGTGATGTTTAATGCAATTCAAATATTGATAAACTTGCAGGACAAGCCAGATTTTTGTGGATTTATGTTTACAAGAGAATTGACCAGATCTGGCGGTGGGATTTTGACTTGAAAATCAAGACAAAACGATTATCGACAAAATGGAAACGATGGTGAAAGCCGGTTTTGCGAATGAGCAATAGTTTTTTGGCAATCACACAATTTTAGATATTTTAGACGATTTTTCGATTTCGGAATAAAGCCCTTAAACCTATTTCAGGAATAAAGCCCTTAAAAACGGCAAACCAAAAATCTCCCCGTGGCCAAGTGGGCAAAAAAATTTGATTCAATCTCAGTTAACTCTGGTTCGATCTCCGACCAAGCAAAAGCCTTTTACCTTTTCTTTTTTTCTTTCCTTTGTTCCCTTGTTGATTCCTTTGTTCTATTGACTAAGGCTGAAGTCGAGCTCAAGAAAATTCAGTCCAAATCGAGCTGTACTTTTTGTATTCTTCGAATACTGCATGATCTCTCCACAAGCACCACTTTTTGCATTCAATTCAAGTTCACAAAACATGCTGATCAACTGCCACGTTTCACCCAAATATTTGAATCTCACGAGCAACGATACAATGGAATTTTCCAGGAAAAAAAAACTGAGCTTTGATCACTGATTGGGAGAACAACTCACCAAACACGGCTTTTGACCATCGGAATTCAGAAAATAGGCGGATTTCGATGGATTTCGGTGGATTTTGGTGGATTTCAATCCACTGAAAATGTAAAAGAGAATTCCCGAGAGTTTATAAAGACCAAAAGATTTCAATCAATGGCAAGAGCTTTCACTTTTCAACTTTTTCCGAATGCAATTTTGCTCTCCACTTTAAAGCGCACTCTCACTACCGTACCCCCGCCCAGTTGGACACGCGGGTCTTTTTATGGGTTTAGACTGGGAATACAAAATATGGTCGGCACCGGAATTCGAACTCGCGACCTCTGGCTTGCTAGGGGAACGCTCTATCAATGAGCTACATCGACACTATCCCATTGCAGCCAGGATAGAACGTTATGTCTTAATTAAGCTTAGCTTAACTTCTGACAGATTGTCATTTAGCAAAAACAGAATACAGATTTGGAATCAGCATAAAATTCTGCATGGAATGGCATAGCTCGATAGCATTTGACCGGCTCAGCCAGTTGACTTTCCCTTGTAAATCTAAATCTTAAAAAAATTCAATTTGAAAGCCAGTTCAAGTATCGGATGTTTACAGAGTAATTTAACAAAAAAAAAACCACGGAAATCAGATCTTTCGAGTTGTGTAAGAATAGTAATTTTATTTACAAGGGAAAGTCTGTATTGTTAAGCTAAAAACAATGAATGAGAAAGCTTTATATACCAGGTAGTACGGTAGCGAGGGCGCGCTTTAAAGTAAAGAGCAAAATCGAGTTTGAAAAAAGCTTTTTTTTAGCTTTCTCTATTGTGATAATGATGCTGAGATTTCTGGCTTTCTTTTCAATCAATGGTTTGTAATTTCAATATTGATTTTTATTCTTAGAACTTTAGAAAGAAAGTAGAGACACTTTTAAGCAAAGAAAGTAGAGCCACAATTAATTAAACCATTTTCTAAAAGGTACTTAGAGAAAAAACTACAGTAATCCTATTTTTCTCTTCTCAAAAACTAACGTAACCCTTGAATATTGCTGCTTTACTCGTTAAGAGTTTAAAAAGCTTTCATTTTATTGTGTTTAGCGAAAAAGCAATGGGATTACTCAGCAAAAAGCATTAAGCAATTCAATTAGAAAGCATTGTAGTCAAGAAAAAGTTAGCGATTAGATTTTCTACTTAATCTTTTCTATTTTAGCTTACTGTAGATATGGCAAGTATCTTTAAGGATTGGATTTTGTTTGAGATAATAGCTACTTACTTTTTTCAGCTCTTGTCATTCACAGCCAGACACTACCCGCTTGCACATCCTGTCCACCGAATGGTAATTCTTTTTAATTGAAAGCTGAAGATCGATCAATCAATCGATCGATCGATCGATCAATTTCCATATAATTTCAGGCATTTGGTCGGATTGGAGCGATTCCGGGAGCTGCTCGGCGACTTGTGGCTTATTTGGGACAGTGACTCAAACGAGAACGTGCACATCGGCGTCGGCGGGATGTCCATGTGATGCGTGAGTTTTCAAAGTAGCCCAATTTTCAATGACTACCAAAAAGGCGAACATTTCCAGCGCAAACACGAGTCGAACGACCGCTTGCCCGGTGTCCCCGCTTTGTCTGGGAACGGTCGACCAACAATGCATGTCCCCTTATTCAAAGGTTTGGCAAGCGGCTTCGTTTTTGATTAAAGTATTTCCTAAAATCTGTCAACTTTTAAAAACTACCGTATTCTTGGTTTTATTTTTGTCCAATTTTGGTCTTTGCAAGGGTTACTGTAAGATATACAAAGTACAGGAATGTTCTGAGGTTCTAGAAAAAACCAAGCCAAGCCAAAGCTGGCCAAAAGCCAGGTCCTGGTTCTGGATCTGGTTCAGATTCAGTAAAACCAGGTCAAACTTTGAGCCAGATCAAACTGGCAGTCAAAATGGCAGTCATGGTTGCCTAAACTTCCTTTGGAACAATCCTGAACAATCCTGGGTGATCTGTCACCAAGGATTGTTCTAGGCTACGGCTTGATTCGTAGCTATCGTACTAAGAGTACTCTTAGTACGATAGCTTTCAAAAACAGACATGTTTTCGAAAACGAATCAAGCCGTCGCCTTGGCTCTAGTCGATAATTGTGAATCAACAACAATTCGACAATTCAGTGGGCAAACAGCGATTTGAGAAAAAGCGTGTGCGGCAATGTGACCTCATCAGATGATTATGTGCCACCAACGTGTACGATGTGAGAGTCGATTATCTAAAGTCTAATGTAAAGAAATCTGTAACATAAATCCATTTGTACCTTTAGTTCTTTGTTCTTTGTTCATTTGTCGATGTTTTAAAAATTAATAAAGCTAATTTAACAGAAGCTAACAATGACAAAATCCAAAAACAGCAAAAAAAGGTTAAAGAAAAGTTTTTGGCCTAAGCCAAGCCAAGCCAAGCCAAGCCAAGCCAAGCCAAGCCAAGCCAAGCCAAGCCAAGCCAAGCCAAGCCCAAGCCAAGCCAAGCCAAGCCAAGCCAAGCCAAGCCAAGCCAAGCCAAGCCAAGCCAAGCCCAAGCCAAGCCCAAGCCAAGCCAAGCCCAAGCCAAGCCCAAGCCAAGCCCAAGCCAAGCCAAATCAAACTGTAAGGTTGCAATCAATTGAAAGCCATGACTTTGGCGTGGCTTACCTTTGGCTTTGTTCCTTTGTCACTCCTGCTGAGGCCAGGCCCAGCCTCACTATAAGATGTTAAGGATAAACCCGTGCCTTGGATCTCATTCTCAAATAGATATCGTGTAGATCTTGTCCTGAAGTGTATCCCTCTCAAATTCTGCGTCTTCTAAGCATGTCAACTATCAAAAACTACCGTAATCTTCTTTTTGTTCTTCTTGGTTACCCCCACAGGCATCTATTAGGGTTTTGCCCCCCCTCCACCCACTTTACATCCAGAAATTTTCCATTTTATGCTTTCTTTTTTGACTGACTTTCATTTCTGACAAGAAATTTGAATACCCTTTGGTTATATGTGCTTCCGCAGTTATATACAGTTATATGTACTTCCGCTATCATCTCTATCCCAAAATTGGTGGTACGGGGATTTCCCCTCGTTTTCCAACATCAAAAATTACAATTGAATAACTTCAATGCAGCATAAAAACAGCCGAATGACCCGCTTCACGACCGTATAAGGGTCGCCGAAAAATCTGCCGAGTTCATAGTGGCTTTGGCGCAGTCAGGAAGAGCTAAGGAACCAAATTTAGAGCTAAGGAACTTTTTTTTTTTTTTTTTTTTTTTTTTTTTTTTTTTCCAAATTTAAAAAGATAGGTGGGGTGGAGAAAAAAATTTTTTTTCCCCCCCCCTTCCAAAAAAAAAATTTTAAAAATTTTTTATTTAAAAAAAAAAAAAAAAAAAAAAAAAAAAAAAAAAAAAAAATAAAAAACAAAAAAATTTATAAAATTTTTAAAATTTTCCCCTTTTTTCGGTTTGTGGTGACATTGGCTTTTCGACAGAGAGGACATTGGCTTTTCGACAGGCACACCGTCCATTCAAACATCCGTTTGTGCAGTTGCAATGCTTGGTTGGAATGGTTGGAAAAACGACAATACTCCTGTAGCCCATAAATATCCTTTTCTTTAGTTTTTATTCAATCTTTCTACTTTTCTATCTAAGCAATTAAAGAAAAGATTACTGGAGTTTACGGAAAAGTTGAAAAAACTTTAGAAAAAGGTGAAAGAATCACTATTAATGAATGGGATAGATATGAAATTATCTGTCAAAGAGCATTGAGACTAAATCTGGAGCTGTCAAAAGCTCAAAAGAGCTCTTGAATGTCAAAACAGATTTGAATGTCAAAACAAAACAGAAAAAAACATCATCCAACGTTTACAGTAATCATGATAAACAAAGAGATTAAATAAAATTGTAACCAATATTTGTAACCAATCAAAAAGCGATCAAAAAGCGATGGAAAAGCAAAGTTCATTGAAATTTCGCTAAAAAAACATTAATGTTTACCATTTCATCGAAATTTTCCATCGAACACGTGTTAGCGCAAGAGTTAACGATCGAAAAAAGACAAAAACACACCACAAAGAAACTAGATTTCAGTTATTTTTGTATTTTTGCCAATATTGAATAAAAAGATTGGTTGTAAACGAAAAACGGATGGATTAAAATATTGTGTACAATTTGTAAACAATTTTTCAAACCCGGAAAAACAATTTGAGTGAAAGAATTTTGGTATATAGGCAGTGATGGAGAGGTGGATGTTCATCACATCACAGTTCATCAATTTCCTCATTTTAATGCACGATTTTCGAGATGGCTTTGAAAAGGATTTTGATATTTTTGATGCCTGGTGAGTCTTCGATGATTCGACAGTTCATTGCATTTCAAATTTTCTTCTCATACTCCTTTTTGCTCATGCTTCTCATGATCTAACCTTGCAGAGCTTGAGCTTACAAGCTCATGAGCTTGTAAAGCGCTCCAGCTACCGGAAATGTAAGCGCTTTAAAGTGCGACTAGCGTAATCTCGTAGCACAATTGGTGAATGTTGTAGAGCTATAGTAAATTTAGCCACTCAGTTTCGGTAGAACTGAAGGCGGAGCTCGGAAAAGTTCCCAAACTCTAATCTAGGCCAAGTAAGGCCACCAAGGGTTTACTGCAAGTTCGGACAAAAAGACCAGGCCTTTTTGTTCGAACAAAAACTGGATCTGGAAGTGGCTAGCTGGATCTGGAAGTGGCTAGCTGGATCTGGAAGTGGCTAGCTGGATCTGGAAGTGGCTAGCTGGATCTGGAAGTGGCTAGCTGGATCTGGAATTGGCTGACTTGGGTCTAGATCTGGATCTCAGCCTAGTTCCTTCATTTCCTTTAGCTTAGCTGGACATATCCAGCTAGGCTAAAGAGAATATCCGGGTGTGGCTGGGTCTAGTTAACTAGAAATAGATCTAGTTAAGTCTAGAAATAGATCTAGTTAACTGGATCGATTATTTGGTATTTACAAATAGAAACAGTTATTTACATTTTCCCGGGCTCATTAGAACCAAATTGAATGCAAATTTTGAAAAGATATTTCCAGCAATTGTCGTTTATGCCCAACCCGCATGCACGAGTTGTCCACCAAATGGTTTGTGTAAGTGCGATCACTTTCAAAAGTCGATTAAAGGTATTTGGTCTCAATGGGCTGACACATCACAATGCACAGCAACTTGTGGTTTATGGGGAACGAAGAATCAGGCGCGCAGCTGCACTTCTGCGCCATTGGGATGTCCCTGTGATGCGTAAGCTTTAGAAAACGTTAAATGGGTAAATGTTTAGCCATTTAAATCATTCGCATAGTTTAATTTGTATAACAATTTCCTACTGGATAGGGGAATTTATCTGACAAGCAAGGAAGTTAAGCAAGAAAGTTAAACAAGAAAGTAAGCACTATCAAAGCAGCTAATCTCATAAGAAAGTGTTCAAAGACATAGCTAAAATATCCTTAATAGAGTCATTTCAAAGCCAGAGCCAGATCTTTACTGATTTGAAGTTCTTGCTGAATGAAAAACCTGAGTGCTAGGCCTAGTGCCAGGCCTGACCTTCTGGCTAGGCAAGCTGGGCCTTCTGGTCAGGCAAGCTGGGCCTTCTGGCCAGGCAAGTCTGGGCCTTCTGGTCAGGCAAGCTGGGCCTTCTGGCCAGGCAAGTCTGGTCCTTCTGGTCAGGCAAGTCTGGGCCTTCTGGTCAGGCAAGTCTGGGCCTTCCGGTCAGGCAAACTGGGCCTTCTGGCCAGGCAAGTCTGGCCCTACTGGCCTGGATCGGTGGAACATTTCTCCTCACAAACCTCATAGTTAAACAAGATCCAGTTGTTTCATAGCTCTTACAGATGAGAAGAAGCAATCTTCTTACAGAAGAAATCTTACTATTACCGGATTCTCTCTGAGCGTCACTTAAATTCCTCGAAATCTCGAAAACCGCTTATCAGAACCTATCGATGTGCGGTCGGAAAATGTAGCTAACGACGAGATCTTGTAGAAGATTACAGTGTTGAGTCTCTGCGTGAACTTGAAAACCGTGAAATAGGCACTAACTCGGCACTATTAGAGAGGTAGCTGAAAATTGCAGAGAACCGACAACGCGAACCACCGCTTGCCCGGTGAGTCCACTTTGCCTAGGCACCGTGTCACAACAATGTATGCCTCCTTATTCAAAGGTTTGATATATTTAATTGTTTTTAGCATAGCTTTGACATTTGTTTTTGCTTAGATACTGTTTTTAACATAAAAATGAAATTTAGTGGGCAAACAAAGTGACGAAAAGAAATGAGTGCGGGAATGTGACCGCGTCAACGGATTACGTGACACCATCTTGTGTGATGCCTGGTTAGTGAATTGAATCACTAAAACTTAAAAGAAGCTAGTAATGGTATGGTAATTTTGTTCTTGTTCTATTACAGTTTACCGGAAATACTGTACCCCACCCCCATAATGACGGTGCGGAGTGTCGCGTAGTCTAGCTTTGAACGAGTTTTTCTCAACACTGGTTTATGCTACAATGCGCGCTTAGGTATCAAATAATAGCTGAAATTCAGGGCTATTTTTTGATACCTAAGCGCGCATTGTAGCGTAAACCAGTGTCGAGAACGGGACGTTCAAAGTTAGACTACGCGATTGTACGCCCGTCATTATGGGGATGGCGTTCTATTAAAGTATTTACGGTATTTTATTTTTCTGATTCCAGAGGCTGCCAAAAATTATGGAATAAATAGCTTACCGTAAATACTGTAATAGTACCCACCCCCATAATGACGGTGCGGAGTGTTGCGTAGTTTAACTTTGAACGTCCCGTTCTCGGCGCTGGTTTAGGCTACAGTGTGCGTTTAGATATCAAAAAATAGCTGAAATTCAGGGCTATTTTTTGATACCTAAGCGCGCATTGTAGCGTAAACCAGTGTCGAGAAAAACGCGTCCAAAGCTAGACTACACAACACTCCGCACCGTCATTATGGGGGTGGGGTACTATTACAGTATTTACGGTAGTTGAATAGTTTTTAATTTATAAAGTAGTGAAACAGATTACTGTAGCTGGGATAAGAATGCGATTAGGCGATAGATTTCTGCTTACAATAGATCCATTTGTTCCAACTTAGCATTTCTAGGCCCTGCTTGCGGCTTCTGCACCTCTTCAACCCCGATATTGCCTATTGTTACCGATGGATCGATCGGGGATTCTCCATTTGCATCAGGTTTTGCAAAGTTCAAGCTTTTAATGGCTTATCTTTTCATTTTTCTATTTGAATTAAACAATTATTTTTGATTATAGTCTACTGTTACAGATGTACTCACAACCGATTCGAATGGTTGTTCGTTGCGCACATTCACGTGTACATCGACGGCCCCTGGTGAACCGCCGCCATGGCCTGCAACGATTGAGGTGATTTGTATAAAGAAAAAGCTCTAGCATTGCTCTAATTTGAAAATTGTATAGATTGGGATACTGAAGTAAACTGAAATAAGTAAGTAAAGTAAGTATTGGGTTGGGGAGAATGAGTCGGCGCCAAACTTTAAAGGGACTTTTTGCACACATAAAGCCTTCTTTAAACATACGCTTGGTTTCATCAAAAGGATCCACTATTTCTCTACAAAATCACTTTTGAGAGATTCCACAAAGCTTTTCTTTCGTGGAGTTTATGGACTTCGAAACACAGCTGGTTAAAATGGCAAAGAGTCCGACTCATCATTTGAACAGTTTCTTTCACATAAACCTTCTTTGGTGTTTATATAAAAAAGATAGAGCACATTCAATTACTTAAGTTGCCAAATTTGCAGGAAGATCCCACCAATGGTTTTTTCTAGATCACAGTTTGTAGTTTTTGTGAAAAAATGGCTTTTTCTTGAGCGGAGGCGCTGTTTGAATTTTCTTTTAAATGTGATTTTGTAGAGAATTAGTTAACCATTCTACTCATATCAAACGCATATTATTTCACGAAGTCGAATTGAAGTTTTAGACATTTTTTTCATTTTCGGCGCCCACTCATTCTCCCCAACCCAATAAGTAAACTGAAGTAAGTAAACTGAAGTAAGTAAACTGAAGTAAGTAAACTGAAGTAAGTAAAGTAAGTAAGTAAACTGAAGTAAGTAAACTGAAGTAAGTAAAGTAAGTAAGTAAACTGAAGTAAGTAAACTGAAGTAAGTAAACTGAAGTAAGTAAACTGAAGTAAGTAAACTGAAGCAAGTAAAGTCAGTAAGTTGAACCTTAACCTTCGATTTTCTTGGCTTTAATCTCAAACTAAAGTTTGCGTAAAGATAAAGAAATTTGGCTCAATTTGGTTAGCTTTAACTCAAGTTTTAATTATCAGACAAAAAAGACAAAACTTGTCTAAAGTTTTAATTGTAAGCCGATGGCTTTGACTAGAATTGGCCTAGAATTTCAATCTTACTGTTGGATTTGGCCAAAAACTTTGGCTTTATCTTGGCTTTGACTGAAATCGACAAAGGAGTGTTTAACGGTTTTTTGGGTTTATAGAAGTTAATAAGTTTGCAATTCCTGAACCACTAAAATCCGAATTTAGGCAAACAACGACCTAACACTTTGCGACAGTTCCGGCATTTCCGACACTTGCTCTTCATCACTCATTTGTAACTCGGACGGCACTATGTGGACGTACACGGCCAGTGGAGCCACACTAAACATTGAAAGGATTGGTTGCTCGGCGGTCACCTGTGAGACATATCCCAGTTTGTGTTGATTTTCAATTCAATTTTGATATTTCTGAATGCTTACGATTTATGCTCGATTTTAGAAATTTGCAGTTTGTCTTTCTGCAATTTCTGCAGTTTTTGCAAATCCTTATATCATTTTTGTTTCATTTGCAGTTAAAAATTAACTTTCATGTAGCTTCTTTGTGTTGATAAATCTAAAAAGTAACGATTTGAATAACTGGAAACAAAGTAGCTGGCTAAACAAAGACTGTTAACAAAGTATCTGGCTAAACAAAGCTTTATGAACAAAGTATCTGGCTAAACAAAGCTTTGTTAACAAAGTATCTGGCTAAACAAAGCTTTGTTAACAAAGTATCTGACTAAACAAAGCTTTGTTAACAAAGTAACAAAGTGCTCAAATGTTTATCACTTGCGAACGTAACGGAAAGCCGATTTGGCACTCTAAAGTAGATATTGGCTTTTCACAAACTACAAGATCAGACTACAAACGCTTGTAGAAACGCGTAGAATGGTTATTTTTATAAACTTCTTTTACCAAAAGATCGAACCAACTTTGGGCTTTTGAATGACACCAAGAACAGACCAATCCATGATCTCTACGCTAAAATATAGCGGCTGATTACAGGCTGCGGGTTACGATAAACTAGGCATGCTTTAAACACGTTTAAAGCAGTCAAACGTTCTTTACAGTAAACTTGTAATGTTTTCAAATTAGTTTAAATGCAAATCAAAAAGTTAAAATACAAATTTGATTCAATCCCAATGAATCTTTTACCAAAACTAGTAGAATTAGAATCAAGAAAGGGGGAAAACTCTTAGAATCATCAAGTCACGAGTCATCTGACGCCATCTGATGCCATCTAATGCCATCTGATGCCATTTGATTCCATCTGACGCCATCTGATGCCATCTAATGCCATCTGATGCCATTTGATTCCATCTGACGCCATCTGATGCCATCTGACGCCATCTAATGCCATCTAATGCCATCTGATGCCATTTGATTCCATCTGACGCCATCTGATGCCATCTAATGCCATCTGATGCCATTTGATTCCATCTGACGCCATCTGATGCCATCTAATGCCATCTAATGCCATCTGATGCCAATTTTAGATCAATCCTTGTTACAATCATTGTTACAATGATTGTAGAGTTAAAGAAAGAAAGTATCAGTTAAAGAAAAGAAATTCTTAATTCAAAGTTTAGAAGTCAACAAGCAAGCGAGTTTCTCGGTGCCAATTTCTAAATGTCAATAAAGAAAGGATCGTCGAGGGAAATGGAGGAATGCCACGACAAGACGCTGCTCGCCTCTTAGGATGTACGCCCAGAACAAAACTGTTCTGGTTTAGAAGTGAAACCAGGTTCAAAGTTTAGAAGTGAACAAGCAAGCAAGTTTCTCAAGTTTCTCGGCGTCAATTCAACACCGTTCCCTTGATCATCTATCCTGTAAAGTTCAGCATCAAATTGCCCAAAAAAAAAATGTGCTATTTGAAGCCATTTCTGTAGCCGTAAACGCCCAGAAAATTCTCATCAATTTGGTTTTAAATCTGACGTAAAATTTTCGAGAGTATCATGAAA